CCTGGAGGCCGTAGGAGTGAGTAATGACCAAGTACGGATCCATGACGTAGCCCGGAATAAGTAAGAGCTCCTCTAGGACGTGATACTTTTGATTGGTGACAGCAAATTAATACAAGCATATATCTATGACTGATTGTATTTCCTTTGGTTCCTGGATCGATGCAGGTTGTCCATCCCTGCATCAGAGGATGTTTGTGGCCCTAGCCACGGCACAATGGGTGGTGACCAAGGCACTAGGCCCCGCGGATGGCGTGCTAGGGGCTTGGGCGGCCACCAGGAACTTTGGTCCCAACATCGAGGCCCTCAGCACGGAACTGCTGCTCGTAAAGGCCACGCTCTAGCAGGCTGCCCTCAAGGAACTTAGTGGGCCAGCCATGGAGATGCTGCTGCAGAAGATGCTGGATTTGGCGCACAATGCCGAAGACTTGCTGGATGAGTTGGACTACTTCCGCATCCACGGCAAGCTCTACAATACGTACGAAGCAGCAGACCAGCATGGCAAAGGTGGCGTCCACGACCTCACACTCAATGTCCGTCACACCGCCAAAGTTGTTGGCAAATCGACCAACTTTTGCCCTTGGCAGCGTCCTAAGCGCAAACAGAGGACATGCGGCGATTCCTCTTGGGCCCCAAACACCAATTAGAAGCGCAGCAGATACATGCCCAAGCTCAGTATACTCCTCCCTTGCTCCTCTTCTCCACATACACATGTTGGTGATGATGATCGTGATAATGCGCAAGATATTCCACAACTTGAGTTTAACAGGGTTCATTTCTCTCAAAAGATGATGGCCATTGTAGAAAAACTGCAGCTTTGCGCAATGAGGTTAACAAGATTCTACAAGGTTGTGGGCCTAGAATTCTCCTAGACATTGCCCAGAGTCGTCCCATCACCAGAGCTAAGAGCACAGAGCCAAAACTATATGAGAGGGACGGTGTCATGAATAGCATCATACATGATATCACCAAGGTCAATATTGTGACAAGGGTCTAACCGTGCTTCCAGTTGTTGGTCCAGGGGGAATGGGGAAAACAACTCTGATACAACACATATATCACAACCAACATGGATAAGGTGCTGGAACATGTTCAAAGATATACCCCTGCAGTTGAAAGTGAAAAACAGTGTAGTACAACTGAAGAGCTGATTGAACAAAGATTAAAATGCAAAAGGTTATTACTTGTATTGGATGATATATGGCAGATCAGTAATGGGGATGACTGGCGAATATTATTGTTGACAGTCGGTCAATCACAAGAAAAGGGTTCTTTGATTCCAGTCACAACTCGGCTTAAAAATATAGCAGAACAAGTTAAAACAACATATCATCCAAAAGAGCTGAACATCTTAGAACATGGAGAGTTTAAGAAGTTATTCCTTGCATTTATCTTTGATGATGAGCAATATCCTAGGAATAAACCTTTTTTGCTTGAGATCGGAGATAAGATAATGAATAAACTAGGCTCCCCTCTTGTAGCAAAGACCGTTGGTAGGTTACTAAGGACATATCCTAGCTTGGCTCATTGGAGAACAATCCTAAACAGTAAACAATGGGAGAAATAGACCGATAACAATGATGTTATGCCTACCCTGAAGCTTAGCTATGACTTTCTCCCTTTTCATCTACAACAATGTTTTTCCTATTCTGCATTGTTTCCTGAAGATTACCATTTCAGAAGCCATGAGCTCATCAGCCTGTGGATCGGACTAGATATTTTGATACCTGGTTGTCAAAACCAAACATTTGAAAATGTAGGTCTCAGCAATTTAAATGAGTTAGTCATCCATGGATTTTTCAGAGAAGAGGAAATTGATGGTGATCAGCGGTATGTTATGCATGACCTATTGCATGATTTGGCACTGAAGGTTGCATCTCATGATTGTCATAGTTTACGTCTCCCTAATGTTGGATCCGCAGAAATTCAACCATGCACCCGTCACTTGTCTATACTCAGAGAGGACATAGGTGAATCTGATGCAGCGTCTGGTGAAAAATTAAAGAGTGCATTGGAGGAAATTAAGAAAACATTGGTGGTTGAACATTTGCAAACATTGATGTTATTTGGAAGAATGGATGTAAGTTTTAGCAAGATATTTGGTGATTTTTTTGGGGAAGCAAATGCTCTTCGTGTTCTTTATTTGCCCAACATGATGCATCCAGTGGAGTCTGTGTTACATAACTTTTCAGGACTTGTCCACCTACGATACCTATGTCTAGGGACAAAGGATAACAAGATGCATTTACCAATTAACATCCCTAAATTTTATCATTTAAGGATTCTATACCTTGAGTTGTGGTATGGAAGTCGTGATTTGCCTGAAGACATGAGCTACCTTGCCAAATTTTTCCATTTTTATGTCCCAAGTGTTTATCGGCTTCATTCTGATATTTATAATGTGGGAAAACTTAAACTCTTAGAAGAATTGAAGGTATTTCAAGTCAATAAGAAAAGTGAAGGATTTGAACCAAAGCAACTAGAGCACTTCACCAAGTTAAGAGAGCTTGGCATCTCCAACCTTGAGAAGATACATACTAAAGAAGAAGCAGCACAAGCAAAAATGATGGAGAAAAAAAATACTTGAGGAGGTTAACATTGTGCTGGGATCATGGGCGATCTAGTGTTGAGCCTGGCGTGGAAGCAGCGGTTCTTGAGAGCCTTCAACCTCATGGAGATCTTCAAATATTGTGCATTAGGGCATCTCCAGCCGCACCCCCAACAGCCCCCCCAGGCCACTTTTTCGGCGCCGGCGCCGAAAAAACGGCCCAGTCGCGCCCCCAGGACGCCGAAAATCGCCGGTTTGGACCTTTTTTCCGCCCGGCGGTCACAGGCCGAACCCGGCGCGCTGGGGAGCCGTTGGGGGCTCCGGCGCTAGGGAAAAGCACGCCTGGCCCACACCGACAGGGGAAAAGTCAAGGTTTTCTTCCCCCGACTCGCCTCGCATCCCCCGCGCCCTCGGCCACCACTAGCTATATCCCGGCGACGGCCGCCGGCCTACTCCACTAGATAGCCATTCCCCGCCGGAAAATAGCAGCGCTTCGCCGCGGCAGCCCCTCCCGCAGCAGCTGGTCATTTCCGGCCGCCGTTTCCGGCCGCGGAGGCGCGGTTTAACGGCGGGTACACGCCCACCACGCGCAAGGTGTTCGGCGTTTTGACTGTCTCGGCGATGGACTCGAATGAGGAGGAAGAGCTCGCTGCGCTACTGGAGGAGGAAGCCGCGGCCGACGTCTAGGAAGAAGAGCATCTGATGGTGCTCGCCGCCCTCGCCCAGCTGCTGGCGATCAATGAAAAGCCGCATCGAGGTGGCTCGGCGCCGGGGCGGGTGAAAGCAAAGAACCGGCATCGTCTGCAAGGCTACTGCATGCTCTACTCCGACTACTTCGCCGATGCTCCACTTCATGGTGAGAGAACATTTCGGCGCCGTTATCGGATGAGCCGAAAGCTCTTCCTCGGGATTGTGAATTCCATCCGGGAGTTCGACAACTACTTCAAGTGCAAGATGGATTGCACTGGCGCTCTTGGATTCACCTCCATCCAGAAGTGCACGACAGCGATGAGGATGCTTGCATATGGAGCTCCCAGTGATTCACTCAACGACTATGGGCGCATGGCCGAGTCCACCAGCATAGAGTGTTTCTACAAGTTCTGTCGGGCAGTGGTGGCAGTGTTTGGGCCACAATACTTGAGAACACCCAATGCAGAAGACACTGCTCGGATCCTAGCCCAGAATGCAGCAAGAGGATTTCCTGGGATGCTTGGAAGCATCGACTGCATGCATTGGCAATGGAAGAACTGCCCATTTGGTTGGCAGGGGATGTACAAAGGCGCCAAAGGCGGTTGCAGTGTGGTGCTTAAGGCATTAGTCACACAGGACCTCTGGATTTGGCACTCCTTCTTTGGTATGCCAGGAACTCACAATGATATCAACGTGTTGCAGTGCTCTCCTGTTTTTGCCAAGCTCGTTGAGGGTCATTCTCCTCCGGTGAACTTCGAGATCAATGGGCACCAATACAACAAGGGGTACTATCTAGCTGATGGCATCTATCCGAGATGGTCGACATTTGTAAAGACGATCTCAAACCCTGTGGCAGGAGGCAAGAACGCCTGGTTTGCGAAGGTTCAGGAGGCTTGCAGGAAGGATGTCGAGCGGGCATTTGGTGTGCTCCAATCTCGATTCGCTGTTGTTCGGTACCCCGCTCAGACCTGGTCGAAAGATCAAATGTGGGATATCATGACTTGCTGTGTCATCTTGCACAACATGATCATCGAGAGCGAGCAAGAAGACCCAGTGTTTGACACTGAACCATACTACAGGAGGGTCCTCTAGCCGAAGTTGATCACCAGCTACCGGCAACTTGGACTGCCTATCTCAGTATGCGTCAGGAGATCCGAGACCCACAGGTGCATCATCAACTGCAGAAAGATCTGATTGAGCACCTATGGAGGCTCAAGGGGGACGCCGCGTGATGAAATACGAGTTTTTATTTGTTGAACTATATAATTTGTATTGAACTATTTGTTGTAGTATTTTGTTGAAGTATTTGATTTTTCTGTGATGAAATATGTGATAAGGAATAATTGTGTTGATAATTGAACGCCGAGACACGGCGAAACCATGCCGAATATGGGCATATTCTCGCCCATATGGGCCGTTTATTCGCCGAAATTGGGCTGCAAAGTGGGCCAATTTCGGCGCCTGGGGGCGACGACTGGGCGCAAAACCGCCCCCAGCGCCGAGTGTATCGCCGGCTCGCCCCCAGGGGGCGATTTCTATGCGTCCTGGGGGGCCAACGGCTGGAGATGCCCTTAGAGGGCACGAAGTCCCTTCTTGTCCAAAATGGCTGGGTGATGAGTTTGCTGTTGAAGCTCTACAATCTCTATATCTTGATGGTGTTTCTTGGGAAGTTTTCCCTTCTTTAGGGAAGGCGTGGGATCTTCGTGAACTAAAATTGAAGCATATTGCCAGACCGAAGAAGTTTATCATAGAGAATAGCTTTTGCATGCTAACAAAGCTTAAACTCATTGGCCTAGGAAGTTTTGAAAAATGGGTTTACCCAGCTGAACAAGAGTCTTCCATTGATGGAGACTTGTTGCCATTAGATGCTCATATGTTCCCTCTTTTGCAAGTTCTGATTATTAGGAAGTGCCCGAAACTGTTGGGGTTGCCTTTCTCAAACCACATTACTTCCACTGATTGGTTCCCCAAGCTACAAGTGCTTGAGTTACGTGACTGTCCTGAATTCTTGCCAGTGATTCCCATCTCCTGGATCGGAAGTCTGCATTCTGTCATGATGAAATGTGTAGAGATGCTAAATGCGTTTGAGTACTCAAAATCATTTGATAGAGCTGTATTGGAAATTCTTGCAGAGGATGATCTGCATACCTTAGACCAAGTGTTAGTGTTTGATAAAGAAATAGGTCTTGAGCACTTGGTACTCGAGAGGTGCCCACCTCTGGAGTTGAAGCACCTTCTGATGCTAACCTCGCTAAAGATATTGTTTGTACAACATTCAGATTGTTGGTTTGGACCACTAGGAGGTCAAGCTGATGTGGAATGGCAACTCCCTGTTGCGCATATGCGGATATGGGACTTAAATGGTAATAGTGGGGAGGAATTGACAGAGCTCCTCCCCCACCTCCCAAATCTCTCCAAATTGAAAATAATAGAGTGTAAAAGCATAAAACAACTGGTGGTGGGCCTGAATGTGCAACAAACAACATCGGAAGCAGCAGCAGAGGAAGAGGATGGTGGGATGCTGGCCTTCCCAGCTGATCTATGTGACTCGCTACAGGAATTGGAGTTCTTTGGCTGCCCAGAGCTGGTCCTAGTGGACCCACCAATGCTCCAAGCCTTGCGATCCCTCCAGAGATTATGCATAATGAATACCCCAAAGTTTATATCCACCTTCTTGTTTACCCGTCACATTTTTCCATCCTCCCTGCAGTTCCTGCAGCTTTGGGGTGTGGAAGGCCTGGAGACTGGAGCCCCTCTCAAACCTCTCTTCCCTTACTGGATTAGATGCAGAGAGGATCTGAAATGTCAGGGCTTGCAGTTTCTCCTTACCACCGGCGGCAAGCTGAACGAATTAACAGTCCTTGGCAGCCGAAGGTTCTTTGATGGTTGGGATCCCAATCCCATATGCGCTTTGGAGGACGCTGAAGGAGGAGAAGAGCAGCAGACATGGCTTGTTTCATCCACACTGCAGAAACTTTGCACGGATCACGTGGAAGGAGGACTTCTTGCTGCACCCATCTGCGGCATCCTCTCTTCCTCCCTCACCGAGCTGAAACTTTGGTCTCAAGGAGTTGGAGAGCGCTTCAGCAAGGAGGAAGAGGACGCTCTTCTGCTCCTCTCCTCCATCCAGCAACTTGAGTTTCAGAGATGCAACTTCCTTCAGCAACTCCCTGCAGGGCTGAGCAACCTTACGAGCCTCAAGAGATTATCAATCTACGCCTGTCAAGCGGTCTCGTCATTGCCCATCAATGGGTTCCCCAAATCACTACAAGAGCTAGATGTCAGATTCTCCAACAAGGAGCTAATACAGCAGTGCAGGGGGTTGGTGGGAACCGTCCCCATAATCAGAATGTAGACTGATCGAAGGTAACACAGACATATACTTCATTTGTTCCCATCCACTGTGCAGCACAATGCCTTGGTAGTTCCCCTGTACATTCGTTTAGCCTTGTGGAGCTCTTCCTTTTCCATACAAACACATCTGCCACATGCATGACATGAGGATCTTGTGGCCACCATCTTCCTTCCTGTACATAAATCTGGCGAGTACATCTAAACTGTAACTTCGCTCCTGCTGTACCATATCAACTCTATGAACGCCCTTGTCTTTACACAAGTCTGAGAAAACCAACCTAATTATCTGCCAATGCCTTCTGCAAGTCTCTCTTCTCTTCCCTAAATGTAATTACTGACATAATATGTGATCACCATTTGGTTTGCTTCTTCATATTTTGCATTTAAACTTGGATTATTGTCGCCTAGTAATACTTGGTAGTCTACTTGCCTATTTTGGGTGTCACGATCAAAATATTAGTATGGCTTAGGTATGGAATAAGTGAGACTTTGTGTCAAGCTAGTTACACTAAGGTGATAGTTTTTTTTTTTTCATACACTGCTATGTTGCCATCAGTACCAGGTGTTCCTGCATTCCTAATTTCTGTGTACTTGTTGTTCAGGTGTTTGTTTGGTACTTGGTAGGCTTTCTAGCCACTTGTGTTTACATTTTGTCCAAAACTCATGAAGACTTGATGCTATACCTGGAAAGTTCAGTTTTAGGGATCAAAGGATCATCTTGGCATAATTATGGAAAACAATGAATTGTCATCGAGTCTACATTCTACTGATCCCAGGTATACTTGCAACAGATACGGTTTGCAGTTTTTCAGTTCAGTCTACATCCTACTGACCCCGGGTGATCTTGCATTTGTTTTGTTTGACACAATTTAATGGTGCACGTACATAAAATATCAGTGCACGTGCGGAAGACTGGAGCTGTCGCCTGTCGCTATTTGAATTACCTTTTACTGTCTCCTTGTTCACCTGCTTTATTTTAGTGTTAAAGTTACCTTTCACTGGTTGTAATGGGTATAAACCCTGGAGCTGCTTGCTCATCTTCCTGTACTTGGGATAAACCTGAAGTTTCTCTTTTGAAGTGATGAACATCTTAGACGTGCTATATATATAAACTATCATTGTCATCATCTGATGAAACATTCTATCAGCATCGATATTTACGCCTCAAGTTATAACGACGCAGCAAGGCGCACCTTTCCTTACTAGTTATACTGAACTGTTACCATGTTTGTCAGCTTTTACTAGCTAGGATGAGAGGATGAGATATGTCACAAAGTTTTCACCAATTGCTCAACGTCCCCAATAATGTGTGTTCTGAACGTTTAGGTTCAGTACAAGAAAAGAGCATGCTAGGTCAGAAGGAGATTATGCGTGTCTGCTCTGAGTAGAGGGACGTTATGTATACTAATGGAATGGCTGGTCGGATTTGCAGGTGCGAGTAGCCGTAGAAGATTTAGATGCCTCTGAACAGTTCATGGCGCCAAACAAAACATGGTTTATCCCATAATCATGGTGGTATGCAAGGAGTGCCACACTCAGTACTCGGTGGCTCCAGCCATGTGTGCACCTGAAACACTGCAGAACATTGATTCATGTGAGGTAAATTGGCCCCAGTGATGTGAAACTCTGCAAGATACTGTAGCTATGGATGAACTGACATCCAAATATTCCAGAATTCGCTTGCAAGAAGTCCATGGAGTAGGGAGTTATGCAGATCTATAGAGATGCAATATGCTTGCTGGAGCCATGCAAATTAAGGAAGAAGAAGCAGAGTGACACATTGGCTAGGCTAGCAGAAGCGTAGCCTGCAGCTTGGTACGTATGTGATCGCTTTATTTGGTACGTCGCCCAGAATTAAATTTCCGTGATGATTGAGTACATCAAGTACTCAATGTGTGCAGTACAGACGGTTAGTATTTTGTTCATTCAGTATTAGTAATATCGTAAATTTATTCTGCCCCTGGCCGGCAGAACAGGGCCAAAGTAATAATACTCGCATTTCTTCCTTACCCATGCAGTCATAATAATCCTGGAAGATTTTTCCGCAAAACAAAAACTGGAAGATTTGTTGGTTTTATGTCGTGGTATTCTCAGGGGGGGTGCGAGTCGACAGATGCCTCAAGGACTTAGTGTGAGGGTAGGACTGCTGCTGATAGGCCCGGGAGCGGGTATGCGAGTAGCACGCGGTGATTTACCCAGCTTCGGAGCTCTCCGGAGAGATAATACTCCTACTGCTGCATGTCTAAGTATGTATCTGAGGTGTACACACTAGTAGAAAAGGGGGCAATGGTCCAGGCCGGGTCAGCCCATTAGTCCTGGTTCAGTCCAGAACCGGGACCAATGGTGGCATTGGACCCGGTTCGTGAGCCCCGGGGGCCGGCCGGGCCACGTGGGCCATTGGTCCCGGTTCGTCTGAACCTTTTGGTCCCGGTTGGCGGGACGAACCGGGACCAATGGGCCTCGCTCCTGGCCCACCACCATTGGTCCCGGTTGGTGGCTTGAACCGGGACCAAAGGCAGCCCTTTAGTCCCGGTTCGTGCCACCAACCGGGACTGAAGGGTTGGTCCTCGTTGAGTAGTTTTTTATATAGTTTTTTTCTTTTCTGCTCTATTTATTTTTTCTGTTTTTTTTGAGTTGTAATAAGTCATTAAAAATAAAGAAGAGACGCAGTGCTTGTTAATTAGCTTCAAGCCTTTCGGAATAGTATAAACTGCACTGCACATAGCTCCGTGCAGTCTACCCTATTTCTCAAGGTTTGAAGCTAAGCAACGTGCAGGTTAGCATTGAGCCTCTTCTGCATCGTCTCTGCACTCATGGCTTATAAACCGCTGCGAGTTCCTCTCGCTTGGCGAGATGGGACTAAAAAATAGCTGCAGCAAGAATCAACTAAAAAACTCTTTTACCACTTCATGCCACGAACCGGTACTAAAAGGTCGCCTTAAAACCTGTACCAACTAAAATGCCTTTGTAACAGCCTTAGAACTGGTACTGAAGGAATCAATTAAAAAGCTTTTATAAACCTCTAATATTATTGAAACTAAAATTATATAAAATTTTGTTACAAACTTTAATAGCAAAAATAATTATCATAAAAGAAAATAAATAAGTAATTATAATTCTGTTCAAAACATTAAAAGCAAAAAGAATTATCTAAAAGAAAATAAATAAGTAATTAGAATTTTGTTACAAACTTTAATAGCAAAAAGAATTATCATAAAAGAAAACAAATAAGTAATTAGAATTCTGTTCAAAACATTAAAAGCAAAAAAATTTATCATAAAAGAAAATAAATAAGTAATTATAATTTTGTTACAAACTTTAATAGCAAAAAGAATTATCATAAAAGAAAATAAATAAGTAATTAGAATGTTGTTACAAACTTTAATAGCAAAAAGATTTATCATAAAAGAAAATAAATAAGTAATTAGAATTCTGTTCAAAACATTAAAAGCAAAAACAATTATCATAAAAGAAAATAAATAATTAATTAGAATTTTATTACAAACTTCAATAGCAAAAAGAATTACCATAAAATAAATAAAGCAAAAAAGAAAATAAAAAAAGGGAAAAAATAAAAAAATTGCCACCTACTGGGCCACCACGGCTTGAATACGACTAGAAACCTTATTGGGCCAGGATTCAGGCCCGCAGACAGCCCAGTAGGCCTGCAATAGTGAGGAGTTCAAATGGGAGGACAGAGTTGCACTTATAAACAGGTGCGGCCACTCCTCAGCTAGCGAGGTAGGACTAAATATCCCACTGCACCGTGCCAGCGCAAGGCCTTTAGTCCTGGTTGCTGGCTCGAACCGGGACTAAAGGGGTGCATTGGTACCGGTTGGTGGCACCAACCGGAACCAATGCCTCTCTTTTGTCCCGGTTTGGGCACCAACCGGGACCAAAGGTCTCTGCTTCCCGCCCTTTAGGGCTGCTGAAAAGAGTCCTTTGGTCCCGGTTGGTGCCACCAACCGGGACTAAAGGTTGCATTAGTCCCGGTTTATATCACGAACCGGGACCAATGATCTGCCTATATATCTGGCACTCGCCAAAATTTCGTTCAGTTCGTTCTTCCCCGCCCCAACGCCGCAAGACTTCCCGTCCGTCTCTGGCTCACCGTCGCCGACGCCGCCCCGCCCTTGCCCGTCACTGCGCCGCCTCGCCCCGCCCCGCTCCTGCTCGTCGCCGCCCCGCCCCGGCCCGCCCCGCCCCTGCCCGTCGCCGCGCCGCCCCGCGCCGCACCCCGCCGTCGCCTTCGCCGTCCCCGACACCGTCGCCATGAGTTAGATTTTGTTAGATTTTTTTGTAGTTCATTGATTTTTTTGTTAGATGTGTAGTAATTTAGATATGTAGTTCATAGATTTTTCTGTTAGATTTTTTTTCATATTGTGCAATTAATTTGTTCATATTGTGTTAGATTTTTTTATGATTTTTTCTGTTGTAATTTAGATGTCAAGTTTTGATGATTTTTTTCTGTTGTAATTTAGATGTCAATTTTTTTTCATATTGTGTAAGTAATTTAGATGTAAAAATTTTATGATTTTTCTTGTTCATAGAATTTTTATGATTTTCTTTCTGTTGTAATTTAGTTCATAGAATTTTAATGATTTTTTTGTTCATAGTATTTTCTTTGTCAATTTATTGTGTATGTATAGAAAAATTAGTTAGAAAATAATAAAACTGTAGTTAAACTAGTTTATTTTTAGTAAGTACTACTTTATTTTATTTATAGTAAGTGCTTCATATATAGTTGAACTAGCTAGTTGTTTTAATAAACCAATTTATTTTACTATATGTAGAAGTAGTTTATTTTTAATAAGTACTACTTTATTTATTTATAGTAAGTGCTTACTAGTTGAACTAGTTGATTCAATTAATAAAACTACTTTATTTAACTATATATAGGAGTAGTTCCCGCATCGACGTCGATGATGCCTATCCCGCATCCTCGTCGTCGTCGACTCGGCGGTGGAGGCCTGCTTGATCAGGGCCATGTTCGGGACTGGGCTCCGCCGGGCTGGTATTGGGAGGTGCTACCTTCTGGGGGTCGTAGGTTGGTAAGGAGGCAGCCGGTTGTTGACCCGATCCTTGTTTGGTGGCGGTCGCGTGAGCCAGTGACGGTGCCGAGGCTTCCGGACACCGCAGAGGTGGTA